AGGGTTTAAATTTCATTTATTTATATAATAATGACATCAAAAATATTTATATAGTCAAATCATTTTTAAAAATAGTTAAACAATATACTCATATCGTTTCAATTTAATTGGTAGTGTTTGACCAGATACTGAGTTTAAGAAAAAACATTAAATTTGTGATTTAAAATAAGTCATAGACTTCTCGGTGACCAAAAATCATCTTATTGAAGGAAATAATTTTTTTTATCAAACTAAAAAGGGAAATATGTTATTTTATTGAATAAGTTACACTTGTTATCATAATTTAAATCTCATTTATATAATAATATAGTCAAAAATATTTATACAGTCAAATCACTTTAAAGAATAGATTCGTACAGTTTCAATTTATTTGGTAATATTTGACCAGATACTGAGTTTAAAAATAAATAAATTAAACTTATGGTTCAAAATAAGCTGTACACTTTTGTGTATGTAAAAATCATTTTTTTAAGAATTATGATTCTTTTCAAACAAATTAAACAAAAAAAAAGTATGTCACTCAATTAGTTACACTTGTAATGACATGTTAAACAACACTAATAATTTTAAAACGTTTATATTGATAATTTATATGACTTAAATCCGTACAAGAATGGTTCTATGTTTTTCATCCCAAATCAATTCCCTAAGGTCTCTCTGAGTTGTGTTATAAGGTAAATCTAAGATTTAAAGTTATGAAATCGTACAATAATCTAAACTTGATATACAAATAAATAAATAAATATATATATATATATATATTTTTTTTTGTATATCAAGTTTTATACACTAACAATAAATTATAAAAATTTCTAATTATCTAAATTAACTAATTATAACATGTTGTTATTCTGATCATATTACCATATAATAAGTCGATTAATTATCTTATTTTCAAAATTATAAATTACATATATTCAAAAGAATTACTTTAATATTCCTTGTGTATCGAATAATGATCGTATTATTTTTTATACTAACAATGTATATAACATAAACTCAGAAAATATCTTTCTTTCTTTCTTTCTCTCTCTTTCACTTTCCTTTTTTCTGGTCTCAAAGCAATGGTTGCTTTTCTACTCTGAAACTACTTTGTCTGCATGTGTTTGGAGCAATATGGATTCCTCTCAACTTTCCTAATTTCTTTTTTCCTCCTTTCTTTAAATAAACAATAAAGTTAAAAACAGAAAAAAATGAAAAAAAAATAAGAACATTACCCATAATTTATCTTCTCGGTTTTATTCTGGCCCCCCTACTCCTATCACTTCATTCTTTTTATCTTCTGTTCTCTTTTGTATTTTATCAGTTTTACAACTAATCTAACCATTTATCAATATACTTTTGTATACCCTAATTCTTGATATATTAACAGTTCAAATTATATACATCGTTAATTTAAAATTTTATATATCATTAGATCATCTACACTTGATATATATAGGTAGTAATTTGTATTATTTTAATATCATAAATCACACATTTTAATACAACTTGTTTATAGATATCTTTTGAATAATTTTATAGTATTTTAAAAAAAATAAAAATGGGGCGAATAGATTATATTTTAATTCATGATATATAAGAATCGGTCATAAATTTTAAATTCTAGATTTGTTTATGTATTGATGACACATAAATTAAAGTCTTGTATAAAAAAAAGTAGGAAGGAGAGATGAGTTGGCCTTTAGCAATCAGCTTAATCAAATGTTTTGAATTTGAATATATAGTAGGTATATATAGAGTTACTTTTGGTAACAATTAAGCGCTTTATCCCTCCTGTAAAGTGGGTTTTTTAATGAAAATTTGAATTAGTTTGACTTAAAAAAATATATCAAAAACGAAAACCCAAAAGAAAAGAAAGAAAAGAAAAGGAGAAGAATTTAGCAAGATGTAAAATATAGTCTAATTAATTTAGTATCATATAATTAACATAAGGTTTTGTTGTTATATATAATTCAAGAATTAGGTTAAATTAGATAGCAAATTAAAGGTGACATTGCCAAGAAAGTGCATGGCAAGTGAGGAAGAAAATTTGCAATCATACTCTTAACTTTATTTGAATTTTTTTTCTTTGAATGGTCAATATCTTATGAGAATCTTTTGCTGGCTATACAAGTTCACCAATAAAACTCTAGAGTTGACATCAATAAAACAAGCTAGTCAGGTTTATATGTGTGTGAACAGTTTTTGTCTATATTATGTTAGACCTTTGTGTGTGTGTTAAATATATTAACCTTTTACCAATCAAAATCGTTTACAGTGTGGTAAGTATTTCTTCATCGTTACTCATAAATTTTATGTTTAAATACTTAATACGGTACTAATGACATCAAGGAATATTTTAGCCTATCATAAAATTTTCAACACAAATTCAAATCTAATCGAACCTTTTATATAGTATTATTAGTATAGTTTGAACCATAAGAGGGTTTGAGAGCCATTTTTTCAAAACCAAGTCCTTACTTTTTAAGACTGAATTACAGGCAGTAAATTAATATGTTGGAAAAGTCCATATTAAGTTAAATGTATCGTTTTTATTAAATTAGTGAAAAATTATATATGTTAGTTAGCTTATAAGTAAATTGATTGTAGTATAAATAATTGAAACTCTTTTATTAAAACTCTTCCCTAGATCCCCCTCCCTTACCTCCATTCATAAACGATAGAAATTTATTAAGGATGTCCAACAATAATGATTTGTGACTGTCAGAATAAAACAAAAAAATATTGTGTTATTTTGGGTTCGAACCTGAAACTTCTTCACTCAAATGGACACTCATTACCACTACACCAAGGACATAATTTTTATCAAGGGTGTTAAACTTTAAATATATATCCTTTAAATATAGAATTTGACATATATGTAACGTAATTTTTCGATGAATAGTATCCAATTAAACACCCTGGATTGGTTGTAGCTACGCCACTGGCTCTTCCCCTGACCCTCAATTTTCGCTTTTACTAAGAAGTGTTTTTATCTTTAATGTAAATTAAGATTTTTAGTGAGATTTCTAATTTATCTTACCCAGAATATAAATACTAGACATCGAGCAAAAATTTTAATAAATATTAATGATAAATTTGAAAAGGACATCATGATTGTGTTTTATGTGTGGTGAGAGAGAGACATTACACATAGATATGAAAGCTATAGCCTATGAGTCTTGGTCAAATTAGGGCTAGGACATCATCATGCTTCATGTGCCTAAGAAATAAACCTATGAAATAATAGTATTTGTTTTGCAAAAAGAAAGTAACTGTGTTTCTTGTCCAAATATTTACCTAAATTATCTTAAGGTTCCATTTGTATGCAAGTATATAGTCTAAAACTCATGATGATGTATTATTCTCAATTTCTCACACACAAAAAATTATAACAATAATAAAATATTAAGAGACATTTCATAAATGGTGTTCGAAAAAAGATAAAATATGTGTAGATCTTATTCTTATCTTTATGGAATTGAAAGTGATATTCTATGGGCCCTCATATGCATTTACTTTTAATATTTGTGTTTATAGTTAGTAAAGTTAACATAAGTTCCAAATATCCTATTCATATCTTAAGTAAGTATTTAGTTTTTATGAGATCTTTAAAAAATAGCCGGTCAATTTTATTTTTTTTCTAATCAATATATATTG